GGATTCAGACATCCAGTTTTCTTTTTCTGCCATGAGACTTCTTCTCTTGGGTTGTATTTGTATTTATTTTTGTAGTAGTCTGCATCCTTGATTAGACGTCCTTTGCAATCCTTGGAGAAGTGGCCTAGCTTTCCGCATCGGTAGCATCTTAGACCATCTTTTCTTCCTTCTCCTCCTTCTCTCTATTCCTCTCTTCTTTCTTCTCTATCTTTTTTGTCGTCTCTTCTTTTATCTCTCTGATGAAACTTGATTGTCTTCTGTCCATAGGTGGGCTGGAATCTCTCTTTTATGGAGTCTCTTCTGTTGTCCTTTTCAAAGGGTCTCTTGATGAACTTCTTCTGAAATTGTTTATTAATCAGGGCAAGAGATTTGGCAAACGTTTTGAGATCATCATCAGAACCTGAGGCTTCTTCTTTTGATTCAGATTCTATGATTAAAACCTTCTTGTTTTTGTTTTTGTGGTGTTCTTTGGAGGGGCCTCTAGTAACCTCCATTTCTTCAGACATTAAGGCTAGAGGTCCTTTGATAGACACCTTCCTTTTCAGAATATCTTGAGTGTTCCATAGACATCATGAAGTGACCAGCTGTCTAAGTCTTTATTTGCTTGTAAAGACATGGACAATTGTGTCCATTCATCACCGAGACTCTTGAGGAATAAAACATTATTTTCCTCTTTAGTTCTTGCAATGTCGTTTCTACGACATTGATTTATTGAAGTGTTGAAGCGGTCATAAGTCTTATAATTTGTTCGCCAGACAATGCTTTAAAATTTGTATATTCATTTAAGCATTGATCCCTTTGGTTTTTCTTGGTTTTGGATCCTCCTTCCAGTTGGCTTGCTAGCTCATCCCATATCTCCTTGGCTGTTGTACTAGCGTCTAGAGATTGAAAAATCTCATTAGAAATGGCCATAATAAGCAATCGTTTGCCTTCCTATCAGCTTCTACCATTTCTTTGTCATCTTCATCCCAATTACTTTCATCTTTCACCATGTAGTAGGCTGTTACTTCTTCTGTGGTGCTTGTACCAAGGACTCTTGGGACAAGAGTCTGGGTATATAGGGACCTTCCATGACAGATCTAAGGAGATTCCTGTCCATCCCCTCAAGAAAATTTACCATCCTTATCCTCCATTGCAGATACTCTTCTTGTTGAAGAGCTGGAGGCTTGGTGAGAGAACCAACACTATATGCAGAATTCCAGTTGGCCATTTAAGAGATTTCAAAGAGAGAATGGGAGAATTTTTTTTGAGAGATTTGAATACTCAGATTCAAATTGATCGTTTTGTTTGAAAATCAATCAATTTTCTCTGATACCAATTGTTAATCCCAGATCTCTCAATGAAACACGAATATTTATGTTTGAGAACCTAAATCTATCGTATCAATGAAGATAGTGAAGAACAACTTGAATGATATCGAAGAAAGTATGAAGCTTTCATGTAATTTCACTATAATAAGGATAACGAGAAAGATTCTTTTGATACAAGATATATGAATGCTATTTATACTAGCAATCTAGTCTAAGAGATAACAATCTAGTATGAGATACCTATGAGATAAACTAGGAGAAGATATCAATCAAGAAAGGTGGGAGTTATCTCTAACTACCTGGCGTAAGAGAATTCAAGATGGCGATGAGTGATCTCCAGCTGTCTCTAGGTAGTATGTTCAATCAGGATTTTTCACATATCTGCTTGACTAGAGTATATCTGATTGAACTGTGACACTTGACGATTATTTCAGTTACTGTAAACCAGAGGGGTTATGGAGTTGCTAGTTCATCGACCTGATGAACTTCTTCACAAGTAGATGATTATCAGGTTAAGTGCTTCAGGTGTTCATAGCACCTCTGGACATTTCATTGCATCTCTGGTTTGTCTTCAACACTTAGAATCTTTTCAACTATGTTTTCCATCGGGTCTCCAGACGTCCATACTTGTACATTTTTCATTACTTTTACAAATAGGAATTATGGGGTCTAACAATTTTCCATATGCTATATCTCCGGCGGGTCATGTTTGGAGTTTCAGTGAAACTGACTTCTCTAATCTTTTTCTTGAAGACTTGGAACATTTTTACCATGAAATTCGTAACCAAACTGTCATAAAGGAAGGAGTAGTCTTAGGCCTTGAAGCTATTAACGCTATTTGAAATGTCATGTCAAGCTATCTTCAATTATCAATGTTCAAATGGGTTTTGAAAGCAACCAGAGGATCGTGAATATGAAGAGGCCTAACCAAGAGCTTGAAGACATAGAAGACTATCCTTCATTCTTAATATTTGAAGGTCCAGAGTTTGGCATGGTTTTATGAAAATTCAGAGAAGTCTAAAAGATTTTTGAGGTTTAGTGAGCTGAATAAGTACTCTGGTGGTACTATTAAGATTGTGAGAAAATGAATTGAAAGTGAAAAGGCTATCGATGACAAAGCTACAGGACGTGATAGGTTAAATCCAGGAGAGAGGTACTTACTAATAAGTGCTTTTGAACTACTTGATGAAAAATTGCAGTATTGGGATGCGCTTAGGAGGTGTGAGACAAACCTGGGTTTCAGAAGATCCAAATTTACAATGTCTCGTGCTTGAATCCGAAGGGGGAGAATGTTGGGTTTAAGCTGTGCTTAATTATTGTATTCAAGTGTTTCTCCGTGTAAATTTGTCTTTATTGCTTTGTAGGTATAAATAGCTTTCCTTTTGTAATTCGTAGTAGTTGAACTTTCATTTGTAATCTTCTTGGAATTTGAATACATTTACTTTTGGCAAGATTCTCTCTAGTGTTCATAATTCCATACTTGATTGTTTGAATATCTGATTGAAGATTTGGGAATTACAGTCATATTTCAGATTAAAAACATTAATGGTAAGTACATATATAGTACTATGATTATCTATGATGATATTATGATTATGTATTCTTTTGTCGTATATAGATATTGGTATGATATCCCTAGTGATAAGAATGTGTATGAAACAAGGAATGGTTATGAAGCAATGGTGGTGGATCTAGATGCTAGAAAATGCAGTTGTAGACTATGTGACATATCAAGAATTCCTTGTTTGCATGCCATAGTTGCTAATACACTTTATAACAAGGATCCAAGGGATTATGCTAGTAATGGTTTACTAAAGATCTCTTCAAAATGGCTTACAAGAATCATATAAGACCATTGAGCAGGAGCAAGAGCAACATGTGGACTCTAACACCTTTCATCAAACCAAAACCCACCAAAGGACATGAGAATACTTGGTCGACCATCCATCAAGAGGAAGAGACCAGAATCTAAGAACCATCATACAAGAATGACCCAATTTTGGAAGGTAATAACATGTGACAATTGTTTGGAAATTGGGCATAATGCCAGGACGTATAAAAATGAGAAGAAAGACCCACCACCTAAAACTGTTAAAAGGTTGGCCAAGATTCAACACTTTAAAACCGACTACAACAAGAGGTTCTAAATGTGGAAGAAGTAGTAGAGGTGGAACAGGGACTAGGGATTAGAGAATGTCATCATATGCCAGTGTTTCTTATGATCTAATAACAGGATATTAAGGTAAGTCATCATTTATTTTTCAGATTTAAATAGCATTTTATTTTGAAGGACTATTGCTTATATTCTATTTTCATCATTAAGACATCCCCAGGCATGCCACAAAGCAGCATGGCCAAGGAACATCTTATTGCATTCAATTTCAAATCATTTTGTTGGTGATTAAGAAGAGTTACAAGAAAGTCAAATGAATTGTATCTTAACTTGAAATATATTAGATGATGCAAGTGAAGAATAATTCATGCCATAATCTTTAATTTAGACATTACTTGGGCATATTTTAGACCAACTTTTGGTATATTTTGACACATATTATATCTTGGCCCAACTTTTATATCTATTTATGTTTTATATACAACTTTATATAATTTAGAAAGACTAATAAAAATGATACATTCATTTGTTTTATAAATATAATAAATTATCCATCTTAAAATTGTATTTAAGAGGTTTTAAAAATGTAAGATTTATTAATTAAAAAAATTATCTAAAATCTTGATACTTCAAATATTAAACTCCATTGTCTTATTATTATTATTTTTAAATTTTTTTCTCTTTTATATAAAAATGGTGCCAAATTTCTAAGATTCGTTAAAGAGTGGGTATACCAAACCCCTTCTTGTTCACACACCGACTACTTCCAATCAGTCACCTTTTCTTATTTACGCTGTATTATATGTATATTATTACAGGTGCACGATGATCACGTGAGATAAATAAAAATGAGATTTAAATCCTTATATTTTTAATCTTAAATTTATCTATAAATTACGTTTAATACATGAATTGGTCAGACGCATTTTATCTTGGTGTATCTTATCTTAATATGTAGAGATTATTTCTTACGTTTCTCATCTTAATTTTCTTTCTCTTCGTAACTCATCACTATTATTATATCCATCATCCGCCTAAAAAGATCTCTAACATATTTTCTAAAATTTCTTCGGAATAGAGAATTAAAATTTAAAATCTCTAAAAATATTATATTTATCTTCAACAAATTCATTATTTTGGAAAATCCAACACTGATTATAATATTAAAATATTTTATTTATCTATAAAAATATTATTTTTTCTTTCTAAATATTTATTTTTAAAGTTTTCTATTCATAATTTCATTTGATAATCATTTTCTGAAGTGTTTTCAATATTTAGATAAAAAACCCTTATTCTATTTTTTCTATTTTAAAAATAATTTTTTAAAAAGTATTTAAAGTAAAACATTGATTCAAAAATCCTATTTTCTCCCTTTGTTTTTAAAGAAAGTAACATCACAGTCGTTGGAGCAACAGAAAGAATTCGGTCAAACAAAAGCTTTTTTCTAGAAACAGTATGTTGACTCTCTCTCTCTCTCTCTCTCTCTCTCTATATATATATATATATATATTATATATAATATATATTATATATATATATATACACGCTTTGCTGGATCGCCGGTTTTTGACTCCTCTCTTTTCCTCCATTGCTCAAAATTTGCATATCTACTCCTTCAATCACCATCCTCCTGCGTTTCTGCTGTGTAGCTTTGGCATTTTCGGCATATGGTGCGTCCCTCTCTCTCACTCTCACTCTCACTCTTTCTATCTCTCTCGCACTAACAAACCTATTATTAATACTTCGACGGTGTAGACGACGGCTGGTGCTGAAGAGTTGCCAAAGAAGCTGCAACTCTATTCATTTTTCATGAGCAGTTCCTCTTTTCGTGTTCGTATTGCTCTCAACTTAAAAGGTTTTGTTATTTGATTCATTATTTCTCCTGAGATTGCGTATTGTGTTGGTTTGTACACGCTCCTAATAAGCATTTCAATTACAGATATTTAATTTGAGTCTGTTGTTTGTGGTTTGCCAACAGGACTTGATTATGAATACAAAGCCATCAATCTGTTCAAACGAGAGCAGCACAGTCCTGGTAACAAACTAAAATTGTTCAATTTAAGGGTTATAGTCTGAATGAGTATATTAGCTGAATAAATGCTTGTATCTCTCCAAAATAATGCACCATCTGTATTTGGGGATATTTTTATGCATACCATAACATAAAATAGAAAAACTTTGCTGCTGTCTTTAACAAAATCTATTTGATCTCTCAAAGTTCAGATTGTATCTCCTCTTTTAGACAGAGGGACTGTAAGGTTGGTGTAGGATAATGCGGCGAGTTAAAGGCTTAAGCCTTACATGCCACGGCGTGGACGCGGCGTTTTTAGGAAGTTACATAAGGCGGCAAATTTGTATGTCATATATCTACAAGAGTAAATTACGTTTTTAGTCCCCGTGGTTTGTTGAAAATTTCTATTTTCATCCGTGTGAATTGCAAACCATAGGGACGAAAACTGTAGCTTCGAAACCATAGGGATGAAATCTGAAATTTGTAACAAACCACAAGGACGAAATACATAATTTACTCTATATATAATAGATATATACATGTATCATTTCCAATTTATTATTCAATAATATAATGATATTAAAATTTTGACATTCATATTAGAAGAAGAAAAATCATATATATTACTATTATGCAAAGAGTTGGTGATCAAATATGCAACATAGAACTTGGAAGGGTTTTACAACTTCGTTTTAACCATGAGTCCGTAACATGCGTGTATCCATGAAACTTTGCGTCATGTGATTACGTGAGTATATAAGAGTGTAAAATCTAAAGTTAAAGTGTAAAAACACAAAAGTTAAAAAAAATAAGAAAATTACATTTTAAAAGAAAATTTCTTTTAAAAAAAGCCACACCTTGAAAAAAACGCGCGTCGTGGTGTGGCATGGCGTGAACCACTCATTACACAAACGCTACAGACCTTATCATAACAGCGAAGACGCATCTTACGCCATGGCGCACACTACTACTTGTGAACTTTTAGTTCTGGTGGCTAAAAACTTCAGCACTTAACTTTTGGGTGTGTCATGTAGCTTCAGGTTTCTAATTTTCATCTATATTTGTTACTTGTCTGTACATTGCTACTTCTGGTTGGTTTTTGCATTTCTAGATTTATGCTTTTTGCGGGTTTACATTTGGTTTCTATGCTTGGTTACCTCTAGATTTACTAGTTCCTTATGGCGCTTCTATTATGTAACATTTCTATTTGTGTTTCTAACTTCCATCTTCGTAAGTGTAGAGTTTTTAAAGATTAATCCTATTGGGTATGTGCCTGCTCTTGTGGATGGTGATTTAGTGCTTGCTGATTCTTTTGCAATAATATTGGTTAGTAATTTCAGTGATCGCCTCTCCATAATCTGCTTCATGCAAGTGGTCTACTTGTATGTTTTCATGCTTTCTTGTATTGTTTTAGGAAGGCCTTTCTTCCGTTCCTTTACTCTAGTTGGTGCTTATTCTTCCTATGAAACAGTACCTTGAAGAGAAGTATCCTCAGCATCCTTTGTTACCTCATGACCTGGAGAAAAGGGCGATAAATTATCAGGTATATCATTTCATTTGTTGTTATGTAAGTTCATGCAGTAAACCACTGGTTCGTTGTACTCAAGGCTAACATCAGCAGGTGCACTTTTTTAATAGTTGACTGCTTAATGTGAATTTAAAAATGGAGTAGATGTTTCCCTACTTGCTCTTGTAGGAATCATCATATTTGTTATTAGCCTATGTTACCCTGTCTTGTGCGATCAATGGAAGACTTTAGTGAGAAAAAGGAGGACCAAGAAGACTCATGATGGAAAAAGTCATCACTCTTTTGGTGTGATAATTTTGCTACTGATATTTTATATTTCTAGAGAATATTACAAGATAAATGATCATGCTTTGTCAACGGAAACCAGAGTAATACAAATTACTGAATTAGCAAGTGATCATTTAGATATAGGATTACCTATCCCACATAAGTGGAATTACATTGTTGAGTAAATCAAGCTGTTTAAGGTTACATGTTTTGAAATATTATTATGTTGAATTTGTTGCAATATTGATTAAAATGTTCTGATACTTTTTATGGTTGTGGATTCAAGAACATGGTTAAGTTTTGGGATACAACATGATAGCGTACCTGTTTGTTTGTTACTGGTTTATGTGGTGGTTCCTTCCATCATCCCGGTATAATTGAAGTTGCCTCCTTTCAAATTTGTAGGCTGCAAATATTATTTCTTCGAGCATACAGCCTCTTATTAGCTTACCTATTCTGGTAAGTAAGAAAATGTTCTTTTCGTTGATTCTTAAACCCCTTGCTTCCACATGAGTTCTTACATTTTATTCATTATCTAAACTTGCAGCAATACATTGGAGAAAATGTTGGTCCTGATGCAAATATTCCATGGATTCAAAAGCATGTTGGAAAGGGCTTTGCAGGTTAATTCCACTTGACTTTTTTCCTCACAGTAACCCGGAAACTAACTTTGAAGAAGGGTTTAAGAACCTGAGATAAAACAAAAGCGAAACCCTTAATACCCCATGTGACACTAAGACGCCTAGATGTGGAGATGTTCTATATAATAAAAATACACTAATTTGACTTATATATGACCAGATCCAGTATCATCTTCCTTTGTCACAGCCTGTGTTGACTATCTGAAGGCCTATAGCATAATCCACATAGTACACCTTACAGAAAAGGATCAACATCTTTCTACTAGCCTTGTCTGAGTTATCTAGTTATGCATTGAATGTTTCTGTTAATTTGCTTGGTCTTGATCTGCTCACACTGTAATTTATACATTTCTTCTCCATGTTAAGTGAGCTGTGGTATTAAGCATACCATGTGCCTTGAGTTTATAGATGGCAATGGGCTCAGGGATACAGGGGATCGCATTCCCCATCCCCATCCCCATCGGGGAATAAGTTTCAATCCCTGTCCCCCTAGGGAACGGGGATCCCCATCGGGAAATCGGGGATTTTCGATCTACATAATATGTTTATATATAAACGATAAATCAACAATTCCAAGTTTAAGTGATATATCGTACAAAAACTTTAAACAACCGAAAATTAATTGTAATACTTGAAGGTTAACATTGACATTACATCACCAAAAGTTCCCCAGAACATTCAAAACCAACACCTTAATCACTTTTCCCATCCTCAAAAAATTTATTATCCTAAAAACATAACAAAAACATTTTAGTGACAAATACATGATAAAAACAATAAATTGTCCAATCATAATAAAAAATGATTGCATAATTACCTTCATCATTTATCATATGTATGGGCATCAATAAAAATGGTTGCATAGTTAAACGTAAATGACGCCCTTTCATTTAAAAAAACAAAAAAAATGTTATTAGTTTTTTAAAACATATATAGATAATAAAACAATTTGATCAAATATTTTACCTTTATTAATAGTTTCCCACAACCAACTTTGCGAAAACATTAGAGCTTCTATTGTACTTGGATGACGTCTACTTCAATAGGGACTTGTCAATCTTCCACTAGTACTAGATGCAGATTCCGAAGCAACGGTGATTTCTACTTTTCAAGTCCAACCAATAATCCAATTTTCATATCAATGATGATTTCTACTTTTCAAGCCCTAGTCTCCTAGGAAAGGACAAAACCCAATTTTCAACATAAGATAGCCAGTAACTTTTCACAATTTTATTATTGTATATACATTTACATAATATATATATATATATATATACATATATATTATCGGGTCCGGGTCCGGGGACCGAGGGGTATCCCCATCCTCGGTCTCCTCTGCAGTCAACTCAGGTTCGGGTATCGGGTTCCCCAACGGGTTCAGGTTTTTTTTGCCATCTCTACTTCAGTTTTTGTTTTCATTCTATTATTACTATTGTTATTATTTATTTAGTTTACAATAACTAGTTCAGTAGCCTATCTCGGGCATGGATAAGGTCCAGCTTTGATAACTTGAGCTGGTTCCAACAATTCTTGAAAGCTCTTAGAAGTTCCTTTCTGCATTCTCTTGGGGTGCAGATATATCACTTCTTGTGGAAGTATGAGAATATTTTGAAATGGGGATGCAAAAGTATGAGTGTGGGTATACATAGTTGGCGATATGGTGTTCTCCTTTTGTGGAAGTTCCTTTCTACAAGGTGTTAAGAGATGATAGTATGCATTACATTATTAGGATTGGAGGCTACTTATATTGCAACTGTCAAAATAAAGGAGGACTAGATAAGTTCAAATTACAGGTTAAAAGTCAAAATAAAGGAGAACTTGGTAAGTTGAAATGAGTTTATGCTAGTCTTTTAGCTATAACATTCGTATTTTATGTGTATTAATGTTATACTCTGAAGGTGACACTTATATACTTGGGAAGTCAATAAGGCAAAGTTGGTAGGCTGTGGCAGGGGAGTGTATCAACTCAAAGTTTGTGGGTGGGAAAATCTGTTGGTGGTAGTATAAGTGAGTAAGGGGAGAAGAGTAATGATTTATGTCATATAAGAACACGAATTCGTATTTGTGAAGGTTGAGAGGGAGAGCTCCCAGCCTCTTGAACGTCGGGATCTGTGTAGGAAGTGTTCGGTTTGTAATAAAAACGTGCAGAAGTTCATCAATCAACTTCTCCAAGTAGAGAAAGAAAAAGAAAAGACATTTTGCACACTCCACTCAACTACTAACCAGAATTCAGAAAGAAACCATGTGAGTGGTTAAGATGCTGTTAGCTTTGGTAATTTAAATAGGACATGAGAATTTGCTAGAGCTTTCCCTAAAGCTCTTTATATTCTCCCTTTGTTTCATTAGCTTTTGTAGAAGTATAAATTTGTAATGACGATGAGATGGAGAACATAATATGAATTTGCGTTGTTTCATGTTCTTAGAGTGATTCTAGCTAGGTGTAAGGTCAGATATGAAGTCTAGCTGAAACATATTACTAATAACAAATCAATGCAAATACAATTCGAATTAATTAGTTTAAATGAATTCAAGTTCTTTTTTATGATCATATAGAGTATGAAAAGACTATAAATCATTAGAATAAAACATATATAAATCAAAAAAGATCATATTCGATTAGTTGAAGTATGAGTAGTATACAAAAAGGTAGAACAATATTTTTAACAATATATTATCAAAAAAGTGACAGCTGTAAACTGAAGAATAGTTAGTACAGCTCTACTGTGTGTGTATGTGTATATATATATATATTACCATATCTGTGAAAATTAGAACCACAACAGAAGGTTCCTACAGCTGTATAATTACAGCAGAAAAATATTAAGTGAAAGTAAAACTATTCTACATTTATACTGCAGCTGCTTACCCCAACAACTAAAAAGAACATAAAAGAAAAGATAACCATATCTGATAAGAGAAAAGAAGAAAAGCCAAGCAAAAAACTTTCTGAACGATAAAAGCAAAAAACTTCGTCTTGCACTTTGTGCCTCAAGTACAAGGCTCTCATTCGAAAGCAACGCCCCGTTTGTGACTTGCTGTGCCTTGGGCCTAGGCACACCTCTCAAAACACTGGTGCCAATGACTGTTAGCCATTGATATTATGCTCTATTGCGTAGATTCCTTGGTAATGTGCGATAACTTCCATCTAATAAAAATGATAAAATTCCTCCTTTAGGCTGAAACACACCATGACCCTTCTTACGTACTTTAATATGCTTTATTTTTCATCTTACATATCAATGCATGAGTGACCTTCTGTTGGGCCTTTCACTCAAGTTGATATAAGAAAATCACCTTTGCATAACATTCTCATAATATTTAATTCCACTATGTATTGGAGTGTAAAAGTAACTTAGTTGATTATATTTTTTAATATATCATACATATTAACATAATGCTAAGGCCCAAAATGGACGAGCAGTAGTTTCCTTTCCATGTTTTGGGCCTTTATTTTGGATGAAACATACGAATCAGAAATCACATCATGTGGTCTAAAACAGGTTCCAGTCTGGTTTGCATTATTGCAGGAACCAATCGTCATATGATAGTTACTGCCAGATTGTTTTTAAATAAATTATATAGTACAATTCATTCATGAATTGCTTTGCATGAAAATCCACAAAAGCATTATCAAAGGCAATCACACTTGTCTATTTTCTTACAATTATAAGTGCTGACTAGACCATGGTGAGCGACCATAACATGTTAGTGTTCGAAAATTATGCACAAAATGATTAACAATTTTTGTTACTTTATCATTTTGGTCATTGTTAATTGGTTACTTGTGAAAGTTTGACATTAATTGCCTCCAAGTTCACTCATAGTGATTTCTTCATTATCATTCATATGGAAATTCAAAAGCACTTTTTAACATTATAATTCATTTAAGAACATGATCATCGAGTTAGACATATTAAACCTGGCTACCACATGCTGATTATTCAGGATCAATATGCCAACTGAACATAATCATGTTATTAATCATCGTAAATTCGATTATATGTATATTTCGAGGCACATCTGAATTAGTGGTGAACAAATTGAAATTCAGATGGTTTTGAGTTTGCACCAGCCTGGATGTCTCTTGCAGCATCTCCACTTCTCTTATGAATCCTAAGCTAAAACATTAGACATATATTTTGAATTTTGATTTCAAATTTAGTAGGACCTGATAGTAGACTGACAGTATAATGCTACAACTATTCTTGATTTTAAAGCCTTGCCTGATGTCTGTAAATTCTTGTAGCGCTGGAGAAATTACTAAAAGGTCATGCTGGAAAGTATGCTACAGGAGATGAAATTTTCCTGGTACTGTTTTCTTCCTTATTGCATATACTCTCTTGCATCTGGAATCTTAATTATGCATAAACAGAAATCTAGCATGTTCTTCTTTCCTGATTGAAAACGTAACTATTTATTGCCAATGCTATAACTAAGCTGATCTGGACTCCGTAAATTTAAGTAGGGCTGCAAAAAGTCAAGCTAAGCCAGGCTTGAGCTTAACCAGCGGTTTTAACAGGTTTTAATCTTGGTGCCTAGCTCAACTTGGGTTGGTTCCTTGGTAGCTTGGGAGCTTTGTCAGTTGAGTCGGGTTTTCTGGTTTCAAAAGGAGTCAGGTATTTTTATGGGTGTGGTTGTATGATAAATCTTTTTTTTATGCTAAAATTGGCATTCCACTTGAGTCTAGAATTTCAATCATGTTGCCGTTTATTGAGTTGAAATGAGCAAAGATGGGTATGTTAACAGGTCAAGTTGAGCCTTCTAGGGGGGTACCCAACTTCTGCATGTTAAATGTCGTGGACAGGACATATGGACAGAGACCGACTTAAGTAGTCCTACTTCAGGTGACCCGCGATTAAACTAGCATGTTAAAGTCTAACAATTTTACAGGCCTGATGCTGGAACTCTTGGAACCAAATATTTATTCACCATTTTCAGATAACATCCTTATGGGTAGATCCTTTCTCTCCCGCAAATGAAGTATTATGGACACACATGCTAGTTTCCATTTGGGTTTGATCCTATTCACACTCCTTTGATTCCTGCAACTGTGTGTTGGCTCAGGAGCTATGGAAATAATAAAAAAGCCTTAAATTCATCTACGAGATCAGCAAAGCAGATGCTGGGAATCATGAGTTCTATATTATAATAGTGGTGGTAAAAATGCTCGTCACTGAATCAAGTTCTGAAAATGCAAATGGACATGTTTGTCCTGATTTTTCAGACCAGATGATTGAGGGATTAGATAAGTGCCGAACAGGGTATTAGGGAAGGACAGCTTTGTGAGTCTCTTTTGGTGCTCATTAAAGAAAAATCTTAATTTGTTAAAGCTTAGGAACATATAGGGCAGGTGTTTCCTTGATCCTTCCTAGCATTTCCTTTATGATGTTCTCCATAGAACGGGTGTGCTATTGTTGTGCAGTTAGATTTCATCTACTCTTGTAGTTGGGTGGAATTTTGGGTATTTTTGAACTGATTGATATATCTTTTTTCTTAGTTGGAGTTTTTTGATGGTGCACTAGGCGGTAAAGACTTCTAGGCTCTGAGCCAAAGGTGGGGTGTATCATTGAAGAGAACTTACTCTATTCTCAGTTGGTAGTCCCCAAGAAGAAAGGATAAGAGATACTCCTGTATATCGCCATTGAGAATTAGTTATGCATAGAGTACATAACCATTTAAAATAAGAAAAAAATGTAATGGAGTTGAATACACTAGAACAAGCTTCTATTAACAATCATTCTCATTTCTCACATCTTAATTTGCGTGAATTTATATACGCTGACTGCAGTAATGTCTGAAATTATCCCAACTTTTGCAGGCTGATTTGTTTCTTGCTCCACAAATCATTGGTTTGACACAAAGATTCAACTATGACATGGTAAGGCTATTCGCTTATACATCATATACCCTTTCACATAACTGTTTACAGCAGGCTGCTCATGTTGCTGTCACTTATACAATTCTTCTCAATATTGCTACCACCTTCAATGTTCGACCAGTTATAGGACATGTTTCTTAGTACATAATAAGGTTTGTGATTGTAGAAGCGCCCAATAACAAATTAGAGAGACTGGGAATTCTCTTTTTATGCGAGTGTTGGTTTTTCCTTCTCTTATTGTACGGTCACTCTTTGTTTTTCTTCCTACTCTAGTAGTTGTCAGTATGCTCCCCTTTTTGTTTGATCTTATGTCCCTCGTGCGTCCCTGCTTCTTTTTGTGTTCCCTAGTACTATTGCGTGTTTGCACACTCTTATGTTACTATGCTATTTTTCTCACGTCTCCTTGAATTTTTGTTTTTGTTTTACAAGTCAGGGGTATTCACGGAAACATCATCTCTATCCTTTGGGGTAGAGGCAAGGTCTGCTTATATCTTACCCCGAGTGCCCGACCCTACCTTGTGTCGGATATACTGGGTCTGTTTAGTTTGATTTATTACGGACTGAGCATTCTCAAATTTAGATCAGAGAGGAGGTGCACATTGTTTATGATTAATAGAATTTGTATGCATGTGAGAACACATACACATGTTTATATGTCCCAAAATTTCATCAATATGTTTATGTACTTCTATAAGCGGCCTTGAAACTTAATATAATTAATAATTTCTAATATACTACATATTGCACTGGTGGGGTTTGCTAGTTTCCATGGACTGGTTCCCTAGAGAACGTTTTTTTTTCTTTTCATTCACATGTGATAAGTCAAAAAGGGACAATTGGTTCGTTTTTAGGGAATGAAAATGGAAATGGAAATGGGTATTTAATTTGATACTAATATCGATTTATTTTTTTCAAAATTTTATATTATCTTCAAATTTATATTTCATTCAAAAATAAAAACATTATTGCTTTATCAAAACCACATAAAATCGTATTATATCGATAGAGATAAATAATAAAAACCAAACATAAAAATGGATATTTATCTCGCTGCATTGTGCGAGTACCCTTCTAGTGTGTATATATATATATATATATATGTATATATATAGATGTGTGTGTGCGTATTTAGAATTCAGACCAGCAGATATTTTGGAGTTTGTTTGTGAGGATCATTAAAGCTTTTGCTACTTATTGGTGCAGACGGAGTTCCCTCTTCTATCCAGGTTGAGTGAGGCATACATGCAGGTACCTGCCATCCAAGATGCAATGCCTGATAAGCAGCCAGATTTCCCCAACAATTGAGGGAACAAGTTAAAGGTATCTTCTTACTCTCGGTTGAAAATTGATTCCCAACGACTGCTTTCTATACTTCTGGTATATGTTTTATTGTTTACTGTTTTTATAGCATCGGTTCTGCTTTTCACTTTTTGGACCAACTTTCTGCAACCAAAATCTTTTTGAGAACGCTTTTTCAAAAGCCGAGGGTTTTCATGGAAAAAACGCTCTACCCTTTGGAGTAGGGGTCATGCCCTAGACCCTAATTTCGAATGGGACATAATGGGTGTGTTTGGTTATTCCTTAAACTTATAAAAGTGCATGTTTTCTACATATCTAGCTTTTACACGGTTAAATATGCTAAATGAATAACTGATTTGTATTTCTGAAATCGCATCTAAAGAAATATTATTATTGGTCTTGATAAATTATATGCTATCGAAGGAAGCTTGCTACCGGATCTTTCCTTTTCGTTGTCAGAGCAACCTGGGTATAGGATTCATGTAGAAAACTTGGTGTCTCAATCCACATAGTCAAACCTCATCCCTCTCGCTTTATTACATCTCACTTTTTATCCTGTGAGCTGTCATTTTCATTCAACAATTCTTTATGTTGAATTAGGGCTTTTCATTTTTTATGCATTCAATGGATTTGGATGTGAATTTTGGTTTCTTTGGGAACATAGATTCAAGGCTTGCTTTTGTGCATGTTTTGGGAGTCTAGAGATCAATCTTATAATTTATTAGTGTGGTTTCAGATGAAGTTTTTGCACATAGAAATGCATAATGACTGGTCGCAATCCGATTCTGGTTTGGTCCTCATGTCCCAATGGTTGAAAACATTTGATCGTTAACTGGTAGGGGTGAGCATCGGAGTTGGTTACCTGTCTTTGGAGCCGGAACTGCCGGTTCTGGAACCGGAGCCGATGTGATTGGTTCCAGTTCCGGTTCCTAAAATACGGAATTTCCAGTTCCGGTTCTCATTTTTCTTTGAACCGTTAACCCCGGAGGGTACCCCCTGTGTACCAAGAACCGGAACCAAAGGGTACCCGCTATTTTTTTAATAAAAATTATTTTATATGTGTATTATATTTAATAAACAAAAATTGAAATTATTAATTTATCTTTTAGTGTTATACTTATCGCCGCTTCCTTAAGATTTTCTATCAAATTATTTATGTAATTATTAGTTTTTAGTTTTAAGTTGGTTAGTTTTCACTGTTTGTAGTATTAATTTATTTATGTTGGTTCTTTATAATAGACTAATAGTTATTTTTTTATAGTATGAAATGATAAAAAAAATTAACAAAAGTTAAGACACCGGATACCCGGTACCGGAACCGGTTCCAAGCGGTTCCATGACTGGTTCCCAAATATAAAGAACCGGTATAACGGGGACTGGTTCCATGAATTTTGGTCGGGTACCTGCCTTTGCTCACCCCTGTTAACTTGTCATTGACTTGAAAACTAAGATAGATACGAGTTTAACGGTCCTAGCTAGTCTTGACCGGGCTTATTTTGTTTTTTTAGTGTACTAATTCTTTCGCAGAAGCAAATCCAAGTATCTTTCTAGACCTTCACAAGTCGAACTTTGGCTAGGCCCAAATTGCTCATGGAACGGATTCGAAATTGGGTCCTTATCCAAGTTCTTTTTCCCTATCGCTCCTAGATTTAAAATCCTTAAATGAGACGACTTCAAATAATATTTATAACAATTAAACATCATTGTTTGATTACATTTTTTAATTCATACATTGCTAATTAACTATTTATTCTTAATGAGATTCGGGATTGAAAATTGTAGGGCAAGGGTAATTTTAGAAAAAAAAAGTTCCTACCTTGATGCATTAAGATAGGGTGCTATCTTATCTCTTAGTAGGATTGAGTTCCGATGAGAACGAGAGTTAAAGATAGAAAGCGTAAGAAGGGATCTCCACCCTTGGATCCACATTAGAATGAGATGCACCGGATCGATCCCTATATCAAGCACGATTCATGGGTAGGTTTGAGATTAAAGGTGATTAAAAGTTCAAATCTCTTCTTACGCTTTTCACATTAACTCTCATTCTCACATAATTCTTCGTCGCTCTTAGTATATATTAAGTTAGAATCAAACATTTTAATATAATTTAATCAATCAAACCTAATTCCAATGACACGCATTTCTAATGTTAAAATGTAGTTTTAAAACTCTTGGAATTGTTTCTATACAACTAAAGAAAACTTCAATATGCTTTTTATTGGTCAATGATCCTTTTTTATATTTCATTAAATCTGATTGCAGTTGTGGCGCTTTCATGTGTGGCATGTTATTGTAATGCTTTCATGTATGGCGTGTTATATCCGAAAATTGCAGCGCTTTCGTATGTGGCGTGTTACATAAGAACTTGCAATGGTTTCGCGTTGGTGTGTTATATATGGAGAATGCATTTTGTATTTTATAAAGTTTTCATCATAAAAATGGTATTGTTATTTTGTTTATCTTAAAATGTTAACACATTTGGGAAGTTTTAATTAAAAGGATATTTTGATTTTTGTTTGTGTGATTTTCCTCTAAGTAGATTTCAATGTTTTGTTATGAAGAATACCAAAACAAAGGTTGGTTCAAATAAGAAGGTTGAATATCGTGAGAAGATAAGAAATGTTCATGTATGAATCCATTGAAAAATCTTTTTGAAGATGCATATGTGAACCAACGTGACAGATTTTTCATTTGGGTTCACATATGTATCTTGAAACGAAATTTTTCAATGATTCACATATGAGCCTTAGGAGGTGTTTGGTCTACATAATGGAATTTGATGGAATTGTTGATGAATTTGACTTTGAAAGAATTGAATTAGAATTTGATGGAATTTGACTACGCGTTTGGTTGGTAAGAATTGGAATGAAATCTCTCAAAAGAATTGGAACAATTGTCTTTGTTTGGACTATCGCACCCATAGCCCCGCCCATACCCTACCAACCATCATGTCACTATTGTCGTCGTCACAACTATCCTCCGCCTCACCGCTATCCTCCGCCCACCGCTACTCTAACCATGCACCACCATCCCAACCCTAGCCCCACCACTCCTGCCCCTGCTCCATAGGTAGGGGTTGTTGGGGGGCAAGCATGTTAGGGCTAGGCGATGGGGCTAGAGTGGGGCAGTGGGTTGTAGCAATGACGACTTAGTGGTTAGTAGTGGGTTGGAGTAAGGTAAGGTGGGGCGGGGTGGGGGCGGGACAGTGGGGTAGGTAGGGGTAGGTGGTGGGGTGGTAGTTGTGACGATGGTAGTGGTGATATAGTGGTCAGGTGGTTGGGCCTGGAAGTGGGTGGGTGTGACGATATAATAGTTTCATGGTGTTTAATGTGGGTTGGTATATAACTTCATACTTACAACTTGATATTAGACAAATCTGGAAACACGCTCCTTCCTGGTTGTAAGATATTTGCTTAAACACTTGTGAGAGATAGAAGCTAGTTGAGTAACTTTAGTACACACACTTGAGAATGTTCTTGGTGTTCATGTTCATGCTCTTCAGCTATTTAATCAAGCCAACTTGTTCAACTCTTCATTCATAATTTTGTGTGTTCATTTATGCTCAACCATCTAATCACACAGTTATTGCTTCCGCTCATTCATTTGACTTAAGTTGTGATTAAGTGCATTAGAGGATCTGGATTCCTAACAATTGGTATCAGAGCTGGCTAATCAGTCTATTGATTAGTTAGATCAAATTCAATAAGATATTCTCTATTGTTTGGTTAGATTGTCTTTGAGAAATCGTTTTTTACTCAAGATCTCATATTTTCTTTAAAAATATGTTATCTCGTTTATTTCGTTAAAGATAATCACTTTTGAATCTGTTCTTCAAGTTTTGTGTTCTACAAAGTTCTGTTCTTCATCTTCAAAACTTCAAGTTCGTCTTTTTATCATCTTCTTGAAAAATGTCTAATCCAAGCTGGAATTTAATGTATAGTGTTGGATCCCTTACAAAACCCTCAACTCTCATTAGGGATGAATACCCTCAATGGAAGATTCAGATGATTAATTTTTATGAAGGTCTCGACCTTGAGTTGTATAAATCCATAAAAAATGGACTCTACGTACCCATGACCATTGTACCTAGAATATATGCTACTGTTACTACTGTAGAAATTCCATCCATTCGTGCTCCTAAGGAGAGAAAAGACTGAGATGATAAAGACAGGTGAAGGGTAGAAATGGACTAAAAAGCCAAAAGGCTATTAATCATGGCTCTACGTAACGAAATCTTCAAATCCCTTGATGCCTGTGATTCTGTAAAGGATCTATGGGATCAACATGCTAACCAATTTGAAGGAGGAATCAAAATGCAAAAAAAAAAAAAAAAAAAAAAAAAAACCGCCGTGCTCAATGCCTAAATGAGTACAACAATTTCCAAGCTCTTCCTGATGAGTCTTTAGAACAGACTTATCATAGGTTAGACACATTGATCAATAAATGTAGAAAACATGAGTTATTAGAACCCAGGAAGAGAACAACATGTTGTTCTTAAAAAGATTAAAAGAGGAATGGGCAAATCTTTCGATGTCCCTCCAAGCAAATCAAGATTTGGAGCAATGGACCTTGCATGATGTCTACGGAACTCTGCAAGCACAAGAAAAAGAGGTACAAAAAATAAGGTCTCTCTGGGTGGACCTCTGGCTCTAGTTTCTGAATCAAAGGAAGCTAGCTATGCCAAGTCATCTAGAGAAAAAAGGACCAGAGAAGAAAGAAGGAACGGGAAGAAAGATTGGTGGTAGAAAGTTAAGAAGAGAATGAATCGTCTAACTCTGATGACGATGAAATTAGTACTTTTGCACATTCTCTAGCTCTCATCACCAAGGAATTCCAAAGGCAGTTTGGAAGGACATTCGAAAGAAGAGGAAGAGACAACTGGAATGACAAGAGTAAATAATGTGCACACGAGCCAAGGAACCCTCCTCCTCAAATCATGAAGAAGGAGGAAGAACAGCCAGAGATGAAGACGGACGGAAACAAATGCTTCAGATGCGGAAGACCTGGGCATTTCTCAAACGATTGCAAGGGTTGTCTGACAAAGGATGATACGTACTATAAAAACAAATACAAGTACAATCGTCCTCAGAGGAGCCTTTTGACAAAACAAGAAAACCGAGTCTCTAACTCTACATCAGATAAGGATACCTAAGATCATTTTTTGTGGAATGGCTATCGATGATTGTTAATTCTCTCTCTCATTGATTTGATGATAATCCCTTTTACCTTATACGAAGTATTATTGTTTCTGTCTTTCAGTTCCAGCGATCATCATTGAGTTTGTTAAGTGATCGCTGAGACATGTATTGTAAATCCATCAGCGACAACGATACTTCAAGAAGACAAAACTCACACCAAAGAACTTTCACCGAAAGTCGAAGACTGAAACTGAAGATTAGAGACTAGCGCGTTCGTGATCTGAAGCGACATTCAGTGACTATAACCTAGTCAACATATGTGTGAAGACTGCCCAAGCTTCAACGAATGCTGAAGAGACCTTCAGGGTTATTCCAACATTCAACGATCAAATGAAGCTTGTTGTGCAAGATTGTTTTTGTCTTGTCCTTCCACACACAAAGGACAAACCCATACCCTTTTTAGAGTATAGTATGGTACGGAGCCGATTAGTTGACTATACTACCCACCAACTTCATGAAAGGATGTCTGCTCATGAATAGACTTTTGTACTATTCACTGTAGCAAAGGACAAGTTTTTTCTAAAAGCTTGACACGTGTTCAAACCCTACTGCATTGCATTAAATGTGCATTTAATTGCAATGGGTATAAATAGATGTGTGTTATCTCCATGCAGAGATAACTAACCTTAATCCTTACGTGCATGTGTAAAAGAACACACACATCTAAGAACAGTTACACTTATCTTCAAGCAAGTTAGAATCCCTTAGGTAAGAACTCATTTTCTTTTTAGTCTTAAACAACAAATCTTTTCTCTTTGCTAAGATCATTTGTGTGTAACTTAGATTGTTTAGATAGGTTATCTTTACCTTATCTATTTCCTCATACAATCTTGTAAAATCTGTATTGATCATTCTTTATCAATATATATATATATATATATATATTAAATTTAAAAAATTTATTGTGTTTGTATCATCCCCCCTTCTACAAACTGTTTCTAAATATCTTGTAGACCCTAACGGGACCAACAATGATGAAGCAGAAGAATCTAGATCTGGCTCTGACTCCCAGGTATGTTCCACCTCTAGCTCCGCCACACTCAGAATTAGAACAAAACATTTTTTTACTTATAAAAGATTTTCTCAAACTACAGCAGAAACTCTCAAAAGAAAAAGATAAGAAAGAGTTTCTAGAAAATGAAAAGAACTTTTTCAAACGAGAGACAGAGCTTCTGATTGAAGAGAAAAAGGAGCCCTCTATGGAAAGGGATACCATTTTAAAATCAAAACTTTCCAAAGAGAATGTTTTCAAGATAGAGGTCCTTGAACTTAAAAATGCCATACAAAAAAAGGACAAGGTGATGATAGAAAAAGAACTTGATAGACTAAACTCCTTAGCTCTCAAAAATTATTTTCAAAAGGAAAGGGAATTTTTGCACCAGAATTTACAGAGAAAATAGTTCTTGATCAAAAAGTATCAAGATGCTCAACAAGTGTATGAGAAAATCAACTCCCAACAAGACAAGATAGGGATAAGTTATGTTGACCTAGACCTAAAATGGAACAAGAAAACATCTATTGAGTCTGTCTTTCAATTAGGTGCAGAGCGAAAACCTGATTTTCCTGCTCTGAATGAACCATCACCTTTCAAAAGATCAAAACTTGAAGGTGGAACCAGAGCTAGAAGGCTTAAATTCAAAAATATGTCTTACTCTTCTACTAAAGGTATGCTTGAACAAAAACAAGTTGATTTGAATAGCATACAGAAGAAAGAAAAAACTTTTAGCTTTGGTAATCATGATCAAGAGCTTTCAACTCCAAAAGGTGATGATCTCAAGCCTATATCAACAGAAACAAGGGACAAAAGTGTTCCTAAAGATGATTTTTTCAAGACTCTGGATCCATGCCTATTAAATGAGTTCACAGAGAAAGTGAGATTTGTGTTCGAGCAACATCTAATTGAGGCCTTGGACCACTACTCTGTATCTCAACAAAGCAATCCAGAGGAAAATTCTAAAAAGACTTTTGAATGCTCCTCATCTAAGCTAAAAGATAAACATGATGTAAATACATATCCATGTGAATGTAATGATATAAAATTGAAGGATCTCTCTGAGGAAAAACATTCTAATCAAAACTCAGAGGAGATCATTCAATCTTTAAATCAACCACAAGAGCTCAATACAAACTCCAATATTCTAAGTCCAAATAGAGATTTTCTCGACTCTGACTCTGAGCTAGAGGATGACTTGAATAAAGAGAATCTCGAAACATAGATAGTGGTGAAAGGACAAGAAGTTAACAAACTTCATGGGATCCTTCTTAAATCTGTTCCAGCCATGGAGCAGAGGAAAAATGTTCCCATATGTCCTGATT